TGCCCCTTCCTGCAGGGCATCGGTACCCCCCAGCCATCTGCACCATGGGGACCACCATGAAAGGGGGACCACCACAAAAAAGGGGACCACCATGAACAGGGGACCGCGAGGAGCACTTGGGGTTCACTCAGCCTGGCAGCCCCAAAAGGAGAGGGCATGGTGGGGCACTATTGTCACCTCCCCTCGGGGCTTTTGATGCCTGTAGGATCTCCAAAGCTTGGCCCAGGCTGGTGCCACCCAGCCCCAGGCCTTGAAGAAGACATTTGGCCAGTGGCTTGGCCTGAATGCACCCATGAAACATTTCAATTCGAAACATTTCAATTCCGGAAACATTTCAATTCTCCTTGCCCCCGCCCCCACAGCAGGCAGCCCCTTGCATAGTCAGGCTTATCCCACTGGTCCAGCAAAACATCCTGGGGGCTGATAAAGCTGCCTGGAGCTCCCAGGCATTTTAACCCCCGGAGAGCTGGGTGCTGTAGGGGAGCTGAGCATCCCCGGAGAGGCCGGGCTGCCTCTCCTGACAACTCTTCCCTCGCCGTGACAGGACTTCATGTGTTCATCACGACCACATGGTGAGATGGGCTCACACCACGCAGCCTCCTTGACTGGCAGCAGCTCCCACGCCCTGGCCAGCACGAGGCCTCTTTGTACAGCACCCTGGGGTCCCTTGGGGAAACTGAGGCACCAAGGGCTGCAGCCCCGTCTGCCTGCAGAAGTCATCAGCCCATCGCTGCCCAAGCGCAAGGCTGCAGACCAGGTTTATTGTCCGTGGAGAGTTGACAGAAAGGAAGCTTACAAAATAAATAAATATCTACACACACCTATATACAGTCCACACGCCCCCCACGGACAGACCTCACAGCACGCATGCAAAAGCACTTTGAAGCACAAATTAGAGCAATGACTTATTACAAACCGCTGTGTCAGGAAGGCTCAGGGACCACCGGGAAGGTCGTTCCCCAAATCGCCACCTCTGCTCCTTCCCCATAAATGCCAGCATCCCGTCAGCAGTGCCACGCTGGACCCCAACCCCAGCTCGCTGGTGGCATCCCAGCCTGGTCCAGCCAGCCCTCGTGCCCCGCTTCGGCTGCCCACCCCACCCCACGACTGCCGTCCTTGGCCACAGTGTCCCCAGGCTCTTCCCAGTCCGGTCTGCTCAGCTCATGCCCCTTCCAGTCCGAGATGCCTGGCCACGCAGCCCGTTGTGGGGGCAGCAGGACGTCAGTCTGTGCCCTGGTGGCATATTGGCCACAGGATCTGGAAGCAAACTGGCATATGCTGGGGTGCCAACTCCCATCCCATAACGTTGTAGGCAAAGGACGGGCAGGGGAGGTAAATCCAAGGACAAGGACAGGCAATGGAGCTCAGCTTCAGTGTCCCTGCTCAGGTCTTCACCCAGCTCCCGCAGCCTCCACGGGGAGGGCAGCAGGAGCTCCAGCAGGGCAAGGCCCCCGCCGCTCAGCACCCCTGTATGTCCCCTGCTTTTGCACACCTACAAAGACACATGCACACAGACACGCACCCATACGCGTGCTCTATCTACGTTGCTCCATCGCCTTGACGAGCTCCTCCAGCTTCAGGGCAAGGTGCAGGTCACCTTTCACCTGCAGCCTCCCACTCATGTAGGCACTCAAGGGGCGCAGGTCGCCCAAGAAGAGGTCCTGCAGGTCTTTCTCTGCCACTTCCAGAACGACGTCGGGGCTGCACTCGGGCACGCCACGGCCAGCTCGCCCCTTGCCTGTAGGACACGATGGGGGGGAGAGAGAGAGAGAGAAACAGCAGGCTTCAGGATCCAGCCTTGCCTGCTGGTGTTTCCCCCACTGTTTCACATGGGTTGAGTTGGGCCGGATGACAGACAAGGGCCTGGCATGGAGATTTTGGAGACAGGAGTCCTTACTCCTTATGGAGATAAATTTCTCTTGTGTTGCTCCACCAAGGTCCTGTTGCAGTGGTCCACCTCCAAGCCCTGTCCTACTTTTGCCACGGTGCTGGTTTTGCCTGCGATAGAGTTAATTTTCTTCATAGTAGCTAGGATGGGGCCATCACTCCAAACGTCCCTCCCTTCCCCCTTCTTCCCCCAGCTTTATATACTGAGCACGACGTCATATGGTGTGGAATCTCCCTTTGGTCAGTTGGGGTCAGCTGTCCCCCCCCAGCTTCTTGTGCACCCCCAGCCTGCTCGCTGGTGGGGTGGGGTGAGAGGCAGAAAAGGCCTTGACCCTGTGTCAGCACTGCTCAGCAGCAACGAAAACATCCCTGTGTTACCAACACCGTTTCCAGCCCAAATCCAAAACGCAGCCCCGTACTAGCTACGGGGAAGAAAATTATCTCTATCCCAGCCAAAATCAGGACACGTGGCCACCAGGAAAACCACCAGCACCCCTAGGGGACTGGATTAGGGTGCTGGGAGGACATCTGCCAGCGTGGCAATGGCCCAAGGCGCTGCCCATGCATGTCCCTCCATCACTACCCCTTTGGGCTGGTGGCATACAAGAACCAACAAACCTTGAGGTCTCTGAGCCATCCCACTTGGCCAGCCACGAGGAGACCTAGCTGCCAATTTTCTATCAAGACTCTCTTTCTGAAGGAAAATTCATGGTTTTAACCCAAACCAAATTATACCTTGGACTTTCAGGGAGCAGGGACTCAAGGCCACGGTCGCCAAAATGCAGTGCTCGGCTGAGAGACCCTGGGGTGCCTTTCATGGAGCTACCAAACAGACTTGGTTTGGGACCCCCTACCACCAAGCTCGGTGGGGTTCGCAGCATGCAAAGGGGGCATGGGCACGAAACACCCTCCCACCTACGACACAACAACCCCGAAGAGCGGCGACCTGAGGAGAGGCTTATGCGGTGCTCTGGGCGCCGCTGGGCAGGGCGATGTTGACCTGGTAGGATGCTCCCACCTGGCTGACCAGGGCCTCGGAGAGGATGGGCTCCACCGCCGAGAGCAGCTCGTCTGCGCTGGGCTTCCTCCGGGCGCTGCCAGCGGTGGCGAGGACGGGAGCGGTGGGAGGCTCCACCTCGTTCACCGTCTCCATGCTGTCTGCTGGGGACAATGGGACAGAAGTGGGTTGAGGGGACACCTTTGGGTAGTGAGCTTTGCTGGTCCGCATGGACCCACCAGAAAAGGTCTCCAGAGCAAAGAACCCCACTTATCCAGCAAGTTTCCAGCTAAGCAAGAAGAGGACAACATGGTTTTGCCAATTCCTACTGCCTGCTCTTCTGTCTGCCATGGGTTACTCTTCCCCTGCTACCAGGGGGTGGAAAATCATCCCTGAAAGAAATAGCGAGGCACAGATTGGTGCAGGGTTTCTGGAAAAAAAAAAATCCACGTTGCCCTCAGATGTGACTCTCTTGGCAAGCTCAGGCTTGGCTTTGCCTGGCGGAAATGCTGAGGTCTGAGTTGGTCTTCAGCCCAGGGTCCTGCAGATCTGCTCCTGCCCTCCCCAGTCCCATCTCCAATGTCTTGTTAGAAAGGTTGCGTTGTGCTACATGCCGCGTGGAGCTGTGCCTGAAGCAGTCCTCTCTCCTCCTCCCTACCAGCCTCTTTGTGCTGTGCTTGTAGGAGCGTGGTATCTCCCACATTTTGACTCCTCTGTCAAACAGCCAATGGACACAAAGGTCGTTGGGCAGGAGGGACATCCCCCAACGGAGAAGTGATGGCCTTGGGTTGGTTACCTGCCTCTGGAGCGCCAGTCCCGCTGCCTGCCAGGGCCAGGGTGTTGCTGAAGAAGTGGGCAGCCAGCTGCTGAACGGTGCCATCCAGCCCCTCCGGCCCAGGCACGGGTGGCATGGTGGCCAGAGGGCCCACCAGGTTCTCCCGGGGTGGCTGCAGCACTGCCTCCATGCTCAGCTCCACCCGGTCCACCTCCAGGCCCCAGGACTTGGTCATGTCGTTAATCTCCAGCTGCAGAGCCAGGAAGAAAGGGAGGGGTGTTGGCAGCCCAGGCAGAGCTGGGTATGGCCATGGAGACCACCCACAACAGCACCCCCCGCCATGGGCATTCCCATAGCTTATACTTCTGCTACCCACCAGCTTTAAACGCAGGGTGTTGAACCAGGCTCAGTAGTCCATCTCCTCCGAGCTGCCCACTCCCACTTTCCACCCTGCTCACCCAGTTGCTCTCCCAGCTTGGAGGAGGTCGGGACAGGGAGGACAGCTCTGTCTCGGTCCCCTTTCTGTGGCTCCCTCCCAGGCTGGCCTCCTTCCTCCCTCTCCCCTGGGCACTGCGGCCTGGCATGGTGCTCCACCAGGCAGCATCTCTGACCTCCAAACTACCCCAGACACCCCAGAGATACCCATATATCGCCCCCAGCCTCCTTTTATATCATCCCTTGTAGACGTTCAACCCACGAGCTCTTGGCCCGGCCCAGGTCGGCTGCGGGCACTAGTCATTGCCCCTCTGCCACCGCCCTGTCCCGCTTCTCTCCCCAAAAGCCTTTTCCAGTTTGCAGCCCCCTCCAGACATTTTCCTGGTGGAGATATGGAGGCCGAATTTAAGCCTGCTGACAAAACGTGGGCTTTTCTGCGTGGCCAAAGCCCTTCTGGATAAGCCACAGAGCTCCAGAGACCCCCAGGCTGAAGGCATCTGCTCCCCACTCATCACCACCTCTTCTCAGCTCTCCTCCTTGGCCGGGACCATGGCCAGGTGGACTTCCAGCAGCTACAGCTTTCCCTTACTCTTACTTCCACACCAAGAGCCCGAGGGTTTGGGGGGGGCTCTGCGCCGGGCTGGGGCAGTGCTCACCAGCAGCTGCTCCCCGATCCTCAGCTTCTCCACCTGGATCTCGCGGAGGCTCTTCTTCACCAAGGTCTTGGTCATGGCGTTCTGCGCTGTCATCCGGGTGGCTGCGATGAGGTCCTTCACCATCATGACGGACAACACGGGGTCCCACACCCGGAATTGGACGTCGGCGCCCATGGAGATGACCGCCCCATCCTTGGAGGTCAGCTGGGGCAGAGGGGAGTCAGGGTCTCTCCCCCTCTTCACCCCGTGGCCCAACCCTTGTGCATAGAGCCTGGGAGCAAGGGCATGCACTTCTTTCCCAGCTGGCAACCGGCTCTAGCTCTCTTTATTAAGAGGGTTATTAGAAACAAAACCAACCCAAAGGATGAAGTTTGGGCTAGTCTGAATGGTGAGGCCAGTTTCCAGCACGGGGCTGTTATTGAAAGACATCTGGGAAGGATAGGGATTGATGTTTTTGAGATGTCTCCAGCCAGGAACGTGCATTGGACAAGGTGTGCAAAGTCAAGAGGAGCTTTTCAACTGCAGGCAGGTGAGGACTCTGGGTTCACAGCACCAGCTACAACCCCCCTCGCCTCGCCGTGAGGATGGAGGAACTGAGAGTTGGGTCCATGCATGGCACCAAGGGTCAGGCTATCCCAAAATCCACCTGCTCTGGGCATTTGAGAGATGTCTCTCCATACCGCCCTGAGGCCCAAGGCAGCTCACCTTGCAGGGGGGCACGTTGAAGGCCCTCGTCCTCAGATCCACTCGCTGCCAGTGATCAATGAAGGGCAGCAGCAGGACCACGCCGGGTCCCTGCGGCGCCCGGATGCGGCCCAGGCGGAAGATGATCATTCGCTCGTAGGCGGGCACGATCTGGAACGGGAAAGTTGAGACCAGGGCAGATCAAAACCCCGGGTCCTGCGGTGCCAGGAGCAACGGGGCCAGGGGCAGCCGGGAACGGTCCCCTCCGTGGAGGATGGGTTGTCATCCCACTCCTCACCTGCTTTCCTTCCTTACCTTCAAGGCAAACCATCCTGAGATGGGGAAGGTGACAACCATCAGCAAGACCACCAAGGAGGTGATAATCCCATGGCAGATCCAGGACAGCCAACCCTGGGAGGAATCTGCAGGGGGGTGAAAGGGGGATGTACCTGCTCCAAAACCCCCTTCCCTGCCCATGAACCCCCACCTGAGCCTCTCCCCCCATGCACCCTGCATCCCAGGGAAGCCAGCAGTGTGGGGGGGGAAACCGGCCAGTGCGACACCCTACAGCAGAAGTGGCAACAAAGAGAAAGGCAGCGGCTCTTCTCTAAGGTCGGGACTCACCTGCGGTATTCCCGGCCGGCCCCAGAGGGTCTTGCTTGGATCCAAAGGAGAAGCAGCCCTTCTGGGCACCGTAGAGCCCGATGCTGGACTGCTGGAAGCGGTCAAAGTCTCCCAAGGGAAGGGCCTGGTATCCCGACCGGCTGAACATGGTGCTGGTGCCTTGCACGGGACCCCGCTCCCAGTGCTCGGAGCCCTCTAAGCCCGGCTCCCCGCTGCCATCGCAGCCACCTCCGTGGCCAGCACGGCTTCTGCCTGCCCCCGACCCGATCCAACGTCCCTGCCCGGCTGCCTGCAAACCTCCCCGCCCTGACGTGCAACCGGAGAGACACCGGAGAAGAGCTGACAAGCCCTGCTGTTATCACGGAGGATGCTTGCTAGAAGAAATCAAGTCCTTCAGGGGGTTTCCTTGCCGGGGTCTCACCCAGGCTGGGGGGTTCACATCTTCCCAGCGACCCTCTGGGCAGCGGCCGAGCCGGGAGACAAAAGCCGCGGCCCCACAGCCACCCTCCACGTTGCACCCCCGTGGAGCTGGGAGATAACCCTGGGGTGTCCCCGGCCACCAGCCCCGTGGCTGGGGGG